ATTGCAATAAAACGGCAATTTCATACTTTAACCCCTAATATTTTGTTGAATCTAGAGTGGTTTTGTGACTTGAAGTAAATTAATTTGCTCTCGAATTAAATATTTCTGTCTTATAACTAAAATACACTTTTGAGACGTCTTTTTACTATTATCAAGTAATTATTCTCTAGCGTCTATAGTGAAAGGGTCGTTTTCTTGGATTTAATAAATTTGTCGTCATAAAAATAATTTTGTCTTTTTCTAAGTAATCTGTTTTTACCGAGAATATGCTGAACAATCACATAATTAGTCAATTACCTGATCCCAACGTAAAATTAGATAGTTACCAGAGCAATGAAATAAAGTACGGCATCACATACGGGAACACTCTGACCAGGACCAATTACAAAAGTTCTTTTCCAAATTGGTAGAACGTCGAACTTAGAATCTTCGCATCTTGCGCCCATAGTGCTAACCACTAAAATCTTCATTCTGACCACGGTTCAAGAATTTTCAGTGATCAAAAACAAGCTGCTGGTCGCAATTCGCTCCCTTCGCTGGCATATCGAGTTATCATCATAGCTAAATTGGAATTTTTTAACGCGTTTTTTGAAAATGCGTTTTTATCTAACAGGAATTTAATAACAGATTTCACTGAATTCATGCTTCTATGAAATTTTATTTCTAAAAGAGTGAATCACATTGGAGGCCCGGTAGTTGCGTTATACCCTAATGATCCTGGATTACCGGATTAACTACATACCTTTTAATCCGAGATTAAAAGCGACGACAGACGACAACAGTAGAGCACACGTCCCTATTTGGTTCTGTCCAAAGATATCATTTTACGTTTGTGTAAATTCTTTTTAAATCACTTGTAACACGTACCTACGTACTACGGGTGGTAGGATTATTGCCTGTGTTGAGGCAGTATTTCTAATGTAACGCAGCATTGCTATGTTCCGGATAGAAAAACAGGATGAGTCTGCGAAATCTAGCACAAGAGATTAAGTAATTACAATACAATGAACAGTCATAACAAGCAATACATGATTTTTAGGAATAAAGTGGAAATCTTCCTATTACATTGTTACATTACCGCAAATTACACGCAAGATTGTTCAATTGTGAATTTTTTTATCTTATCTCTATAATATTTTTTTATATTCTATAGAAAAACTAGATAGTAACATACCACCTAAGGGAGGTATACTCCAGTGTCACAAATGTTTGCATGCGGGGTAACCACTTCCCATGAGGTCTATCGCTGGACTCTTTGCCAGTTTGGTCGACAAGAAACCAAACAATATTTGCGCCTTTGGGTTCTTCTCAGATTCTGTTTATGTAGAATTAAAATAATCCTCTAATTTTTGGATGCCCTTACACTGTCTGAATAGAGATTATGTTAGTAAATACTTGCCCTATTCCAAAATTTTGGTCCTTTTAGAATAGGCAGCAGCGCAAACTTGCAAAACTGCAGAATTATGTTTCTTGAACATTATCTAACTCAGAGTCTTCTACAGGCTGGATAACGCACTGGCGAACGCTCCGCCGTTCGTCATGGAGACAGAGGCGTGTAAGCGCCTGGACGCCACGGCCGTGGAAGCCGAAGCCGGCGAATGTGCCGACGCAGAAGCGGACAACGGCGTTGACAATTCCGACAGCGACAGCGAGGACCTCGGACCCGAGACTGCAGTCGATGCTGATGACCTTGAAGCGGAAAGACTTCATGATCCTGCGCCACCGACTCCGCCTGCACATACTGGTATGTAGCCAAGTAACAGGTACATAAGGCGGATAGTTACTTTCCGATCCTAAGTTAGCCTTAGCATTGCCTTTTGAGATGAAGTCAGTTCTTTAACATTCCGCCATCCAAACGCAACTGATCTCACATTACACCACTAATCATATTGAGTTATGAATATGACATAACTTGTACTGTTATATATATGCTATGTGATAGATAACTAAATTATTAGACGTAACATCCAATAGCTTAGCTCTCTATGTAGAAGCATTAAGTCCTCTTGGCTAAAATTTTAATGCGCTTATGCTCTTATCATCTACAGCCACAACTGTTACGATTTTTTACTGCAACGTTACATTTTGGGTACCCTAGACATACAGTTTTCTAAGAGGAGATCCGTACGCTGTGGCATGTTAATGGTTGATTGATATGAATTATAGAGTTTTGGAGAATGCAAATATGCAAAAGAAAACAACGAGGGCAAAAGAAAAAGTAAACCAGGTAATGTGAATTAAATCGATCGATTGTAACATTCACCCACATTGAAATATAACTGCCGCCTGCAACAGGCCCGAGAGGTGATTGTATGCAGATTACTCAGATAAGTCGATTGCTTAGGGAGAGAGATGGGTTGAAAATATATCCAATTTTTTTCGACCAGCTGCTCATTGGGTTGCTATATAAAATGTATGCCCCTATTTTTGAGTAACAAACGTAAAGTGTATGACTGGGTGAGTTTTTAAGTCGATATTATTTATAATTATAAAATATTAAACTGTACAAGCGACAATTGATTGAATTGTCCCATGATCTGATAAATATGTGAATTTTCGGCGTTTCACCGAATGTTTTTTTTTTTCAGTGAAATGCATTGTAAACAAATGCTCTGGAGACTTATTTTACAAGAACATTTTCAATAAATAATGTAAATATTTCCAAATTTTTACGGGGTGCAATCAAATTAATAAGTGGTATCCCTATTCGGGTGCATGCCGTCGGTCGTCGTCGCCCCTCTCGCCGCTCGCTCCCAGCGCCAGTCGCCGCGCCCCGCTCCGCACTCCCCTGTCCCGCCCGTGCACCTCGCAGTCGCTCATCGAACGCCTGTCGAGTCTGTACTGCTTTCCACGCTGTATTATTGTGCCGGGCCTGTTGTATACTTTATTACTGCTCGAATATTACACCGTCAGTGGAGATAGTAATCTGTGCAGTGAAATTACCGTTTACGGTATGTGATTTTTAGCCAATATTGCTCAGTAATGCTACATACCGGACTTTGTGAAAGGTTATTTCTGTGTTGATTCATGCGGAGCGTGTTCTGGAAATAGAACGGTGGAAGACGCATCCCTTGGTCGCAGGCTCGATGTTCTCGAGCCGGGTCACGGGTGTCCACGCCCGTTCTCGAAATGGCGCCCGCAAATGTCTCCGGAAGTCTCGAGTTTGAATTCGCGACCGGTAAATACCGGTCGTTTACGTCTGATAAGTTATTACGTCATTATGGAATGCTTCGTTTTCGTTGTTTGAATACCTAAACATTTACTGTACGTCTATGGTTAGGGTGTGTCACCTGTTGATCTTAGGCGATTTGCACGAGGGGTCGGTTCTTGTGCGTTTTGTTTGACAGCGATAAACATTCCAGCCGCTTTCCGTTTGACTTTGACAGTTCCCAAGCTGCCCTCGGGAGCTGTCAAGCGCTAGACACAACTGTGCAGTTTTCACTGTGTTTAGGAACAGAAGTTTCCTTCGAAAGTTTTTATTATTAATTTCTTTATCTATCGTTTTTCATTGTTTTGTCATATTAATCTTACCCTACTAGGCGAGCTAGGCCGTTAAAACGTATCTCGTGAATAACTTAGTAAACTAGCATTTTTAAGCTGCACTATGTAAGTGGACAGTTTTGAACAAAGATAATAAGCATCACTGCACATATCTAGTGCAGTAATCATTTAAAATCCTTATGCAACAAAGTACTTGTAATCTTTGTTTGTAAACAAAAGAATAAGGTCCATGCTCATGTAATATAATAATACAAAGATGCTTCTACCTACAACTATTATTTTATAATAGAGAGAGAGAACAGAGAATGTAAGTACATGCATAAGTATGTGTATAGCATGAAAATTATTGATAAACAAGTTTAAGTAATGCAATTCTTGAATTAATGAATCTTTTGTTTTTATGTCCAATTTGAAACTGTTCTCTGCTGAATATATACACAAATATAAACAAATTTATTGAATACTCATCATTAATGTGTTCACATACACTAATGTTGTTGATAAATTTTTCCTTCTATTATTCATTGCTTGTGTCATTGCCATATTTCTGTAATGATGTATAGATGATATGTTAAATATACAACATAAACAAAGCCTAATATCATTGTAACATAATTTTGTAATTATTTTGCTGTCAGCAATTATTATTATATGAAGAAAAAAGGTGATGTAGCACCAATCTAGTGTCTTTAGTAAGTGCTGGTTTCAATAACTCTACTTCTTAGTGCCTATTTTGCCTATGCTGGTCAAATGATCCAGGAACCTTAGTATCCTTTTGGACTTGCTTAAGACTTAACCTCAGTACTCGAAGGTATTTCGCCTTGCACTTGACTATTCCAGAACATTCTAGTAGTTCTACAAGCACTCAGCCTAGTCTGTGACACCTTGAATTGGTGTTTATTATAAAGATCAACACCCATGAAAAGTCTAATTAATACCCTTGGGTAATAATATCTGAGTAAATTTTGGATGTTTAGTAAGAATCCATTGGGTGTTGCAGGATCTTCTAGAACCCGCAATGTCCAACCAATGTACAAATTACTTCCTCGGAATAGAAGGATGGTAACAGAGACCATTTGTGGCCTAAGCCTAATAATAATAATGCACCCACTTATAGCCTCTGCAATAGGGAAACCCCATATTGCGGATGCCATGGACACATACAGACCACCACAAATTACACCCAAACTCATGAGAGAAATAAATGTAATAATGAACCTGGGACCTCTGTATGGCAGACCAGTATGGTAACCGTACAGGCACAGAGGCAATTGGAACTTCGGTTTTTTTTCTTGGGGAAATTGTTAACCCAGAAACCAAGCTGAGATCTACCATATTACACTCAGAACCACAAGAGATAAGAAAGAATCCAGTCACACTTACAATTATTTGTGGTAATTCAAAGGTCAAGCTGCACTGGCCCATAGTATATGAAAAAGTACAACCAGTTGACCACATAATAAAAAACTTTCTTTTTCGCAAACTGTCCTGACAAGAAATACTACTGAAATGTACTGAACTAAAGAGCACATTGCTTATTATAATGATCACATTTTCTTCTCTATCTTATAATTATTGCTTTCGTTTCTGATTTATAGTTATTTTGATTCATGTTTACTACTTTCAGATCTTATGTTGTAACCCTTTGGTATTTGTACCATTTTCCTAAAAAAGCTTCCGTCATCAACTATGTCCCATTATTAGGTATGGATCTAATACTAGACTGTTCTAAGAACTTAAGTTTGTTTCGTGTTCGCGTTCGACTCAGAATTATAGCTACTTCACTACTAAAGTCTGTTCCAATCCATTATGCCAGAAAAGTAAACAAGCCGGTTTGGTTAAAATTATAAAGCAATCAATCCCTCATTATATGGAATAAGTAACATGTTCATGTATATTTTGAAGGTTTCAACTTGATATCTCATCACTTTTTCCAGCAGTATTCATTTGAACAACATATTAAAATCTTATTTGAAAAATGTGAGTTTAAGGGTCGTATTCTAGAACTCTACTCAATGCTCAAGTCAGGATTGCACTGGAAACACAAACACTGGAAATACGACCCTAATGGCAGGGACTTGAGTGTGATTTCGAGTGCTTTAAACCATACTCAAATCCTGACTTGAGCATTGAGTAGAGTTCTAGAATACGACCCTCAAAGTAAGGTTATTTCTCAAATATAGATTTGTGAATAGTGTATAGTTGCAAGGGCTGTATGGAAATAACTCATTTGGTTAATTTAATTAAAGTTTTTGTAATCGATTAGTGAATCGAAAATTTAATCACAATCGAACAAATAACTAAGTGTACCTAAGGATTTGAAGGAACATTTTTAAATTGGATTTCGGAAATTTTGAATTTGCTATAGGTTATGTAAGAAAAAATTCTAATCTCATGTAATATCATCACTCAGTATTGAATCACATATTTTTTATAGTAATTAGCAGCGAAATTGCAAAACCCATTCAAGGCAGTACAGTTGGCCATCACTAAACTATCTATGGTGGGTCGGGTCAATGATTTGTTTGTTTACTTTTCTGGTACAACAGATTGGAATAGACTGTACATATAACAATGCTGGTATTGGGAAAAGACCAATGGAATAAAGATATTGTGACTTGTTTTTTTTGTAAAATGCTTATTATAAAGTAAATTAAGACATAATTATAGTTCAATTGTTTTATCTTTTAAAAAGATAGGCTGGCTCGAAGTTCTGTGACTCATCATCATTTTAGTACCAAATAAAATTTTTATTTTGATAATTTAGTCATTTTATTGTATATCACAAAAAACTAGTATAAAGTGGCATAAGTATGCCTTAGGTGCCAATGTCAGAGTCTGGTCTTAAACTAATAGAGTGGTGGAGTGTGATGTGTGTTGGTACTTTATTGTACACTCCCGGCCTCTTGACAGTCATTCGGTGTTTTCTCAAATCTCCATATAGATATTTTTAATCCATCTTAAAGTTGAACTCTATTGTTTACTGTTTGCTACAGTGGAGACAAACCACGTCGACGGTGGGCTGGTAGATAATGTAGCTGAGAGCGGCGAGGACTCCGAAGACGAGTGGAACTACTTCAAAGGCGAGGGTGAGCGCCGCGCCGAGACTGACGAGCCGCCGCGCTCTGACACTCCCTGCCAAGATAATGTAAGTAAAGCCTTGTTTGTTTTAATACGTTAAGGCTGATTACACATGGCGCCGCAGGAGTTTCGGCGTAATACCGTTACACTTGCGGCGCGACTGCAGCCCATGCATCGTGACCAACTAAAATAGTACATTTGTAGAGAAATGCGGCAGCGCTCGCTGTCGTCGCCGCGGCAGCCGGAAACGCCGTTGCTGCAGTGCAATAAGTGTGTATACAAATACAAGGGCGGCTGCGGCACCGCAGCGGCGTGTGTAATCAGCCTTAGTATTACAGGTTACACCTACATAGGTTTTTGCTATGGTGCTTTGTTCCAAATGAAAATATGAGTTCTGTTTCTATTTGATTTTGGTACAAGTAAAACATTTTCATTTCTGTCCTTTTGGGTTTTAAAGGGAGATAATCTAAATAAGTTTAGAAATAAAATAGATTTGGTGAAATATGACCCTACTCTCTAAATATTTAATCAAACCATGCTAGTACTGTTATATTGAATATCAATTATCTTACTATCTCGGCATTTTGATAGACTTAAAAGGTGAAATTACAGGCACACGGGACTTGTCAACTTATGTCTCTGGGTGACGGGCGCAGTGGATATGCCCATTAGATATTTGCGATTCAAAGCTCTGTGTGGTATTGCACTGTTATAGACAGGCTTGTACGGCTTACCACCAGGCGCACGCCTTGTTCATCCCGTCACTTGATATCATGAAAACAAATTAAAAAAATTTAAGAAATTTTATTATGTATAAATAAATAAAAGCGAAAGTTTTCGGCGAAAGCGAAACTAATCGTCGTTTACGTTTTTTATACATCCAAATATATCTCATTTAAGCACTACTTTGACACGACCTATAGTGTAAGATGTCATGTGTGAAACCGAAACTTTTTTTAAAACATTTTTCATAAGTTACTTACGACAGGTACACTCAGAAGACGGGCGATGTATAACTGATGAAACTAAATCTTTCTTATTGTCAACAAGCCTTTGTTGTAGCAGCCAATAGTAACAGACAATTGAAGTCTTTCCATATTCAGACTGATTGGGGAAAACGTTAAGCTGTGATCCATCAAATGAGCAACCTTCCCTGCCTCATCAAATATATCACACATCCAGTGTAACAACGACAATTGTAAAAACGTACAAAACTAAGATAATTAAGGCCGAAATTATGTTTACTGAGGATACAAAGATGTAAATATAGTTTCAAGACCTTAACGTTCATAAATGACCCGAGAATTGTTTAATAAAATTATTTTATATTTTTTATAAAAAAAAATCAACATCAAAAGTTCGTGGAATTAAATCTATTTGCCAAGCTCTATTGTAATCGGTTACCGGAAAGTGCGCCAAAACCGAATTAGCCCCCAAGTTTGCCACCCTTAGAGGTGGAATATTTTCAAATTGATATGGGACCAATACTGAGATACTCTCTTTCCAATAAAAAAAGAATCGTTACAATCTGTTCCCAAATGCCGGAGTAATCACAAAAAAAGTCGAATTGAGAATCTCCTTTTTTGAAGTCGGTTAAAAACATGTTATATCGCGACTCCAGAGAAATATAGACATAATTGCAAAAAATTGTGATGCCAAATCATTTTAAATATGCAATTTATACGGAAACACAAATTATGCATTCGTTCATTAAGAATAATATAAGATTTAAGAGCTCTTCAAATGTGCTAAGCAGTCTTAAACACAAAACTTTTAATTCGTTTGCTGTAAATTTTACAAATGTGAGTTAAGTCACTGTTTCACCAGAGGATATTCTGTTGTGGAAATTTCTAAACTGTACAATCCTTTGTTATACCAGATTGGCGATAAAGTAGTAATGTATAATTTTGACCAAAATAAATACATCAATACAACATACGAAATTCCGAATCGTTACTTTTTTTTTCAATATTGCATGTTACAATCGTACGTGGTAATGGGGGCGATAATATATCTTATCCACATTATAACTTGCGAGATTATTAAACCCTACTCAGTATCACAGCTATAAAACGCAACATAATCGTTAATCATCTTTTAACAAACGTCCAAATAGTTATTAAGAACACAATAACCTCCTTTTACATTTCTTAGAATTTGGTTGCTCAACTTTCTTCAGCGTGAGTCCATATACAATGACGCCTCTAAGGAGGTCATGTTAAAAGTAACGAGAGTACAATTATTTTCATTGTTGCCTTTACAACAGTGTTGCTCAGTCTACATATCGCCTCACGAGTCACATAGATGACGTAATTGGAAATGAAAATAACTGTGGATGTATATTACTCATTCAAATTAAGGATGTCCTTAACAAGGCCAGATTAAAAGTATTTTGAGTTGACAAGCGTGTACGAAAGGATGCGAATGCAGGATAATAAGAAAAATACCAGTGTCGTAGCTAGTCAATTCGCTTACCCCGCTGTGAGATAGTGTTGACTTTAGTATTCATAACTTTGTAGATATTTTATTAAAGAGATAATATTACTATAATGTCGTCATCCAAACCGAAGAAGAGGCACTCAAATTTTTTTTCCTTGAAAAATAAATTTATTTTGCCTTTGCTATTCGCGGTTAGCGGTTCAGATAGTTACAAAGTGTTTTGACTTGTTTATTAAAATGGGGAAACTTACAATATCATAGTAATGGAGTTTGAAAACGGGATTAAGAAGGTGGATAAAGAGTGAAAAATAGATCAGGCGAGGAACTATGAGATACAAATAAACAATTAGTATAAATATAGAATAATATAATAACAGCTAAATTTTTGTATTTTATGGACATTGAATTCTTGCTGATAGTGAAAATTTGTTATTTACTAGGTTTAAAACTAACGTGAAACAATAACTTTAAATTTCTGCGTACTTCGATGACAAAAACCCGAAGAAAGTGCCATGTTAAGTTTTTTCAGGTAGTTTTTACCTATGACATTTTTAAATGTTATAAAAATAGAAACATGTATATTTGCTAAAAGGTACCTTCTAAGGGTTGTATTAGCAATCTCTAAAGTTTATTACTTATTCTTTTATGTTGTAACGATTGAATAGTATATTTTTGTCTTATTTTATTACACAGCTGCACTGAAATGAGCAAAATTTTTTTGTAAAAAAGAAACCAACCTTTTTATTGCTTAAAATAATCACGTGATGACATGAGGCTGTTGCTGATTCGTCGGCTATTGCATTTTAGATATTTTGCAGATGTTTTTAAACAATGTGTGTTTTTGGGATATGCCGCTATTCTAGAAAGCCAACGATATGGTGATTTTATTAGAATTACACTCTTCGGTGTCGGGGGTTTATTAAATTTTAAGTTTTTGAATTTCGTATTTTTTTTTACAATTACAGAATTGGTTATGTCATTTCAACTCAATACGTTATACAATATATCATATTATAATATATTATTATATTAGTCATATTATGATTTTGATACATTAAGAAAGCAAACAAGCGTCTCGAGATAATGTATCTCTTTTTGCGCGATTATTACACTTGTCAACTAAATAAATGCGGAATTGTAACTAAAAGAGAAACACTAGTGATATGTAGTGTTAAAAATAAACAGGTTATCTATTCTAGTACAAATCTAGTATAATCATTTTACTATTTTACATCAAAATATTGCAAGTTTCTTTGATAAAAGAAACATTCTAGAAATTACTCTTTCTGAACTAATTAATTCAAACTGTGAACCCGATGTTATTTGCTTAAGCGAAATATTTGTAAAAAAAGGCGAAGAGCATCATATAAAAATTTTTAACTACAAACTGGCATCTAGTTATTGTAGGGACAAAAAAAGAGGAGGTACATGCATTTTAGTAAAGAATAGTCTCGTAGCAAAGGAACTTAATTTCTTCAAGAAATATTTAGTGCGAAACGTTTTTGAGTGCTCAGGAATAGAATTGCCTGCTCACAATATAATTATTCTATGTATATATAATTCACATAAAAAATTTGGTGCACGTTTCTTAAGTATACTGGACTTAGCCTTACACGATATAACAAACTTATATAAAAAGAAAAAAATTATAATTACTGGAGATTTTAACATAAACACATTGGTGAGTACTTCTAATAGCCGCTATCTGAAAGATTTGATACAAGGTCATAATCTAAAACAATATATAAATGAACCTACTAGAAAACTTTCATGTTTAGACCTAATTATTAGCAATATTAAGGAAGCCACTGGAAAGAATTTACCCCTACAACTTTCGGATCACAATAATGCACAAATACTTACATTTTACATGAAAAACAAACCAAACGAAAAAAAGTTTTGGTATATCACAAAAAGAGATATAACGAATGAAAACTGTAAAAAGCTACAAGCATATCTCGGAGCTTTGACGTTTTCTGACGTTGTAGCTGAAACAAATTTTAATGCAGCTTTCAGTACATTTCATGAGATTCTTGCTCTACTCTACAATCTTTGTCTTCCTAAATACCGCTGTAAAATAAATAACAATATCAAAAGTCCTAAATGGGTCTCTAAAACATTAAGAACGTGTTGTAAAGTAAAAAGAAAATTGAGATTTAAATATTATAAAAGTAAAAACAAAATAGATAAAATAAAATTAACAAATTATTCAAAAATCTTAAGGAAATGTATTATTAATGCCCAAAAGATCCACAACGCACATTTTATTAGGAATAACAAAAACATATGTAAGGCCTCATGGACTATCATAAAAGATCAACATATCTTGAAACCCCCTGCTACTGATATAAAACAGCTAAAGGTAGGAAACAGGACACTGACAGAGCCCTTTGAAATTGTCTCGGCTTTTAACCATTATTTTATAAATATGACTAATGATAATAATAAATCAATTGACAAAAATAAATTTAATACTCGGACACTATTAGAGTCGACATTACATTCATTTTACATCAAACCTTTTTTTATACATGACATTATTAAAATTATACAATCTTTGAGCAATACTAACGCATGCGGCTATGACGAAATTTCAACAAAAATATTGAAACAGTGCAGGAATGAGTTAGCACCTGTTTTAACGCATCTGGCTAATTTATCGTTTGAAACCGGAACTTTCCCTGACTTATTGAAATTATCAATAGTTAAGCCGTTTCATAAGAAAGGTGATAAATCGGAAGTATCGAATTACCGCCCTATCACATTAATACCAATATTGGCAAAAATATTTGAAAAATGTATGTTTATCAGATTGATGGACTATTGTACAAAGTTTAATATTATCAAACCAGAACAATATGGTTTTCAAAAAGGCAAATCAACCACAGAAGCGATTTTTAATATTGTGGATATAGTAACTAAATCTCTTGACACAAAAAACCATAGCACAGTATTGTTCCTCGATATGACTAGAGCCTTCGATTTCGTAGTACATGACACACTGCTGAACAAACTGGAAAAGTATGGAATTAGAGGCATAGCGTTGACTTGGTTTAGGTCGTATCTGCATAACAGGCAACAACGCGTGGAACTAAACTATATGGACAAAGTAAATGTAATAAATACTTGCTGTTCAAATTACAGTATCAATAGGTGCGGTATTCCTCAGGGGAGCATATTAGGGCCCTTACTATTTCTTCTGTATATTAACGATTTACCAACGATAACAACACATAAATGTATCATGTTTGCAGACGATATATCAATAGTTATAAACTCAAATAAAAACAACCCGATAAACTATGAAAGAGAAATTAATAACACGCTAAAGTCTGTGATAGATTGGTTAGCCATTAATAATCTACATGTGAATTTGGAAAAAACAAACTACATTCAATTCACTCTAAGAGGTAGTACAGGAATCGACTTGAATATTAATTATGATGGCAAGATCTTACAAAAAGTAGAATCTGTTAAATTTTTAGGCGTACTAATAGACAGGAACTTAAACTTTATAAGTCATATTGACAACATCTGTAGCAAAATAAACAGTTTTAGTTACGTCTTCCGTAGATTTAGACAAGTCACTAGCATGAACATTTCTTTGATGGCTTACCATGGTTATGTTGCCTCGGTTCTTCGTTATGGACTGATCATCTGGGGTAATGGATCTTACATAAACCGAGCATTTATGGCCCAAAAGAAATGTTTACGAGCAATATGCGGCGCTAGTCAACGAGTATCGTGCAAAACACTGTTTGGGGATTTAAATATTTTGACTCTACCTAGTATGTACATATACGAAGTTTGCAAGTTTGTGAAGCAACATCCACATTTATTCAAAAAAGCTGTAGATATTAACCCACGTGCCAGAAGACTCCCAAACAGGCTTGTTGTAGAGAATGTACCAAGAACTGCACTTTTTAAAAAAAGTTCATACTACATGTGCTTAAAAATTTACAATAAACTACCAAACGACATAAAAAACCTGACATATATGAAAATGACATCTGAATTGTACAAATTGTTAATGATAAAAAAGTATTATAGTGTAAACGAATATTTAGAGCATTAATTTACGTGATATTCGACATTATGTTATAGCTATAGTAAAGTTAACCCTAAAGATTTGTAATTTTGAAATTGATTTTGACTTTTGTATATAAACATTTGCATGCTATTTTATTTTAGCGAAACATGTATTGTACCGGGACTATTTTATGTTACAACTTTTTTTAAAACCATGTTACAAGCAAATAAATGAATTTGAATTTGAATTAGAGTAACTACTAATAAAAATAAAAATTGGAGTATATAGTCCTCTTTGGATTATTATTATATATATTATATTAGTATGCTGCCATAGCATGTAAAGGTTAAGGACACTCTAAAAAAATTACCAACACACACAATTGAAGAAAAACGATAATGAAAAATCTAAATCATTCAATATATTCATTCTAAACCATTGGCAACTGAAGTTTCCAGAGATGTGCCTAATTGACCACTCTAGCTGGGATCTCTGTCAAATCAAGAGGAGGGCGCCCGGCATGCGAGCTACTGAGTGGATAAGGCACAAATAAAAAGAAATAAATATCCTGGATTGCTTGTCGTACAGCCTTTGCGAAAATTTTGATCTAAATACTCCATTTTTTTAAACATTTCTTTTGAATAATAGCACGATATTTAAGGGAGTTTTTAAAACCCTGTGACAAGCGTAGGCAATATGAATTTACCAGACCCCGTAGCATGGCTTCGCATGGTAGGTGCAAAGCGCCGGATAAAATTGAAATAAGCGCGCGCTATTGGCTATCTAAATTAGATCTGATTGCGACAGCCAATAGCGCGCGCTTATTCCAATTTTATCACGCGTGTCGCGACTATCTTGCGTAGCCATGCTACGGGGGCAGGTGATTATAAATCTATGAAGGAAGTCCTGTAAACAGCTCCACATATTATAATATGTAGAACTGTTGACTGTAATTTAGATTAGCAATTTAATGAATTTTTCCAAGTGGCAAATAGAAATTGTGATAAGTTTTTAGTCAAGTAGTTTAAATTTTTAGCTACTTATATACATTTAGTGGAACAAAAACAAAGTCAGCTTATAAAATAATAATGTCTATATTTCAATAATTAATAATTAGATTTGAAATAGCAATTAATTTAACATTTTAACATCAACTTACACGTACAGCCTTACGCAACCTTTAAACAAAATAATTTTTTGTTCACCTTTATGATATAGCAGAAATAGCAGAAAATTTTTAAAATTGCTAAAATAAAAAAGTAAGATAATTAACCAGATTTTGGAAAAACACTTGCATTATTTTGGATATTTAATTAGTGTTCCGCTGTGTGCAATGTGTGTGTTGTATTAAGAAAAAATTGTTTTATTATTGGCGCAAATATTATTCTTACACACGTACAATCTATTCTGTTTCAGTCGGGTTGGGAAACAAGCTCAGTAGACATGAACAGCTCTCCACTCAATCCGGACGCGCCAGTGTTCGTGCCAGGCACCGTCTCAGGCGCCGACGTCTTACTGGCCGAGTCGCCGCGGAAGCCTCTGCCCATGGACGACATTGAACTCCCTGATGTGGCCCAGTTTCAAACAGAGGCAGTTGTACGTCCAGCGGAGCTGTTGGACCTCGATAACTGCGATCAACTCAATGGACACCATGTAAGTATTCTTCTGGTGTGAAATTTTTTAAAATAGTGCATATATTTCTTACTTTGCTACAGTACTTTTGTTCCCTTATATTTTAGTGTAATTTTGGTTATTAAACCAATAAACTGTGTTCATTAGATAGACAATTTTGTTATAATTTTTGAAAATTTTCTATATGATGACAAACATTGATAATGAATCGTGACTAAGGCTCGTATTCTAGAACTCTACTCAATGCTCAAGTCAGGATTTGAGTATGGTTTAAAGCACTCGAAATCATACTCAAGTCCCTGCCATTAGGGTCGTAGTTCCAGTGATTGTGTTTCCAGTGCAATCCTGACTTGAGCATTGATTAGAGTTCTAGAATACGACCGTGAGTCTTGCAAAGAGAACAATTTCCATTCTTGAGTGAAATTCTGTTAATACCTAACTACTGACACTGAACTCACATTCCACATTGAAATAAAAATATATCCATTACATTTCAGAATGTGTCCGTAAACGAGCCAGGCAAAGAACATTTGAATGGCAACGACAATTGCAACATGGACAGCCTGGGCTTCGGCTTCAGTGTGGGTGTGGAAACCGACAAGACAGACACTGGCCTCATTCAGGACTTCGAGAGGATACAGAAGGATACTACAGACTTCTGTAATATACAGGTTTGTTAATTTACCATTGACCTATACTTTGAATGTGACCTAAAGAAATGCTTGAATTTGATGACTTCATTTGAGTGTCTGTTGTAAATTACTGTTTTATAAATATTAAAATTTCTGTTTGCAGGTGTTCCAAGCGCGCACTGAAACAAACCCGTTCGCCGATGAAGGCAATGAAGAACTCCTCGAAAGGCTGAAAAACAAGGAGAGAGATCCCATGAGCATGAGTTTCTACCAAGAGAAGGACGACGACACGTGCGAGCGGCTGCGCTCGCCGGCCGTGGACCTGAACGCCGTGCAGCCGCTGCCCGACAGCGACGACGACGACGCGCTCAACGGCCACGCCGACGACAAGGAGAACGTGCGCCCCGAAACAGGTACCATCGAGCCCGACAACGACGCCCTCCGCTTCGACGACCGCGCCGACCCCTTCGCATACTCCGCCTCGCCTTTCCAGGAGGTCGTCGCCCCGGTCGACAACTTCATAGATTTCACCAACAATATGCAGCAACACGATTCCAACATGGAATTCGATTCTAGCAATAGCCCCCAGGAAGTCGCCCAGACCGACACGCCCGAATCTCATAAACTACTATTCGAACAAATTCCCGAAATTCCTGACGGAAAGAGTTCCGAACTAGGCTTCGCGAACGAGGACCTGTTGGACCCCTCGGAGAGTGAAGTGCGCGCGACCACCACGCAGGACGAAACTTCCCAGGACGTCGATATGGATAGTAAAACGGACAACTCTCCTTGCGAAGAAACGCGATCAGAATTAAGTCCCGACTTGAAGGAATCAGTTGAGGAGGATAACGCTGCACCGTTGCAACCTCTGCTACAATTAGATAACACGGGAAATGAAATTCTTTCAGAGTCAGAAGTACACATAGAAGATCGACAGGCTGCCGACATCGATCACGCGATATTCGCAGCACCTGACGACAAACCGCTCGCGATTACGCCGGAACACGACATTCAAGAGAACATCGTGGTGGACGTGCACCATCAGCCCAAGTCGCACGACGACGACGCTCGCGTTGAAACCGTACACACAGACAACATTTACAAAGACTTGGATGCACAAAACGACTTCCTCGGACAAAAAACATACATTCAAGCGGCGGCGTCGCCGGCCGCGACGCCGGTGCCACCGCAGCGCGTGGCCGCGGAGTCTCCACTTCCGGTAGATTCGCCACTGCCAGCCGAGCATGCAGTCCCGGCTGACGCGATGTTTTTGGCGGACTCGCCGCTGCCGGCGCACTCTCCTCTGCCCACAGACACGACCTTCCTTGCTGACTCCCCGGTCCCAGCCGAACGGCCGGTCGCATCGCCACTTCCTGCTGAGGTACCTTTGCCCCGGGAATCGCCGATGCCGGTCGACGATGACGCACGTTCCCCTGTACCAGAGTCGCGATTCGGGAACGCGTCGCCGGCAGCCGTCTCCCCAGTGGCCGTCGTAGACGTACCGGCAGCGGCGTCCCCCTCGCCTGCGGCGTTGGAGGAACGCCTTAGTGCTGCGCCCGATACGTCGCCGAAGCCGGTGCACTCGCCCAGCGGTCCCGCCCCCGATATAGTACCTGAAGAGCCGCCGCGCTCAGACCTCGTCACCGACATCGACATCGGCATTCCCGAGTCACGAGCGCAGGAGATCTGCCTGCCAGTCACCAACGAGATCCAGAGCGAGGACGGCGCGCAGCCCGCGGGCACGCCGCCACCCACGCCCGCCGCGCCGCTGAGCGCGACGCCCATCGCCGCCGATCCCGTTCCCGCCGCTGCCGCGGCCACAGCGGCGATCGCCGCCACCGCCGCGGTCGCTGCCGTCGCGGGCAAGACCAAGACACCCGCTTCAGCAGCGAAAAAATCTCCAACGACGCCGAAAGTAGATGCACGAACGCCGAAAGTAGACACGCGAACGCCGAAAGCGAGCGCTGTAGCGCCGCGAACGCCCGCTTCCGCGAAAAAGCCGGCAACTCCCGCGGCGTCGGCGACCAAGGCCGCACCGGCCAAGACGACGCCCGCGCGGACTCCGGCTTCCGCCGCGAAGGCTGCAGCCCCGGCCGCGCGCACTCCGACCGCGAAGGCCGCCGCGCCCGCCGCCAAGCCCGCG